ACGGGCAAGCTGCAATTGATACGAACCGATTGTGCTAAATAAACTGACCTTTCTGCTTTCACAACCTCTATTGTACGTTCAAAGAGTTATACTCCGGTTTATTTTTGGGGTGCTTATTGAATATTAGAAGAGTATGTCAGGACAACACGCAGAGGAGTGGCAGGAGGAGGCAATGTTTCAGGAGCGAGCAGACGTTGGCAAGCAGAGGAAGGGGTCGATGCAGCTACTAGTCGCAGTCAGACGGGCCAGATGCTCTCCGGTGTCATTCAGACGGACTAGTGTATCCACCAGACAATCGCCTGACGTCATCGATTGGTTGACTCGGTGCGTCTTACTCTTCCCAGGTCACTCTGACACCTACAGCCAGACGGTCGGTGCGGGTACGTCAGACACACAAACAGGTTAGTTGGCATGGGCCGGGGGAGCATGCCCACTGAAATCACGTGTTCCTCGACCTAGCCCATGTCCTTTGGTGGTTCTCTAACCAAGCTGAGTATCGCATGCTATGGGCACTGTGTGAGGAAGAGCTTACATGAGGGAGGTCAGGAACGGGGGGGAGGACATTCCGCCTCTTCAGCAGGCCAAGGCGAATGACGGAGTACTGGCGGAGCGAGAGTGGCTCGGCTGGTAGGCCGGTTAGTAGTACAGGTCTGTCTCCTGAACCACACGCTGCCGAGAGGGCTGAGTAGTGACGCAGGTAGAACCTAATTGATGATGATGAGGCTGATCGCACTTGGCCAGGCATCGTCGTCATCAGGCTATTGCTTCCGCATTCATCAGGTGAAGAGGGTGACCAAGCTTGCCAGCGAAGCAAAACCAGTCGGTGGGTTGCCCAAGGAGGCAGCAGAGGTCGCTAGCAGGATGTCAGTGGAGCCAATACGGCCACGGAGTAGAGCACCAGCTCCACTGCCTTCCTACCAGCCTCGGCCAGTAGTGGTGCCGGGTGTGCACGGAGAGAAGTAGCAGTCAGCCAGTGAGGGAGTAGCGGGGGCAAAGTTTCCTACTCGGCGGTGTGGCGCAATTTTTCGTCAAGGCCGCAAACCGAGGGAAGTAACGTAGCCGTATGTCGACTATGTGGCCAGAAAGTCCATGCGTGGCAGGGGGCACAATGTTGGGACTTCTGCGTTGCTGTTCAGCATATGCAGCAGGTCGCCATTCGGTGGCCTGGGAAAACAGTGATAAGATACGGCGGTTTCTGCCTGCCCCAGGCACCCCCGACTCCATCACCCGCTCCGTTACTTGCTTCCGTCACCCGACGTCAATCGCCCCTCTATCAGCCAGTCAAGGCTCCAACCACCTCTGCTGAGGGGAGTTGTCGCTCGTTGGCATTTTCCGCTCGTTTCAGTTTGCTCCTTCTCCTGCTACTCCTCTTCACGGATTCCGTCAGCAGTCTTTCTTGCAATCCAGTTTCCGAAGTGACTACAGTTTGCGAGCCACGCACCCGACGGTGCAGGAAGCTGAACGTCCTCCTGTCCAAGTTGATGGTGCTTGCAGTCCCTCCCTTTACAAAGTGGTGGACTCAGCACCTTTCCGAGAAATGATGGCTTGTGCCGAGCCACGGTGGAGAGTGCCAAGCCGGCATTTCTTCGCCTAAAAAGGCAGTGCCAGCCCTGCATTCACATGTAGAAGAGATGGTGGACCAGTCTTTGAGCATGTGGGTCTCTGCCAAAGTGCACGGCAGCGCCGTCTAAGTGTGGAGCTGTAACTACGGTCAGGGACAGTACATGTCATTTACGGCCCACTGCTATCAAGGTGAACGTGGTGGCGGCACAGCCGCACCTGCAACTTGGACAGGTCACACGCCGCTTTTGCCTCCACGTTTGCACGTCCTTGGTCCAGCAAAGATGTCCGCCTCTACCACTCTTCTTCCGCCGGTGTCCTCAGCCGCCACCCCCGTGCCTCAAGTCCATTACCCGACCGGCATTATCACAATGTGCAGGGCGCAACGGTGTCACGCTGTGCTGCACCTGGTATGCCTTGGCGAACGTATAGTCACACACAGGGGAGGAACTTCTGAGTGTAATGAACAGAGAAATCGACAAGATGGCTGTCTGCCGCGCAAACTGAAAATCGGGGGAACCATGTTGACCGGACAACGGAAAGAACATGGTGTACTGCTCTGCGTCAAGGAAGGTTGTGTGCAATGAGCCATTGCATGGCTACACGTGTTCAATCGGGTTGTCAAGCTGGTTCCTAAAATCCACCATCCCACTGCAAGACATCCTTAAATGTCACGTAAACTTTTGCATGCATTTTTCAGCCATTCCTACACGCAAAGCAACACCCTCCTTGAGCTGCAGCGGCAGGCAGAACGGAATTCCCAGCATTCGTCCTGATCTGCGACGTTGCAACAAGGTGGAATTCAACCCTAAATATGTTAGACCGCCTTTACGTAACAGCGAAAGGCCATCACCGATTTCTGATGTTACAAGCGGATAAAGGTATACCCTGTGTAACTTAGATGTCAGCCATTGGCAGGGCTCATGCCCGTGACACCTGCCGCTTGCTCAGGCCCTTTGAGGAGGGCCACGCTATTCGTGAGTCGGCAGGGACTATGGGGGATTGAACGACGTCATTCCTCTGTTGCACGTCCTGGAACAAATGCTGTTAACAATGGTGGTCAGGGTTGCGGTAGACGTGGTGCCCCAGATTCTCAACGGCCACATGACCCCTGTGGGGGCAGGACAGGAAGAAGAGGAGGAGGTAGAGGAGGACATTGGTGCTCAGGAATTATTGAGTGAAATAGGGTGGTTTTTCCACTCAGAAACCGGACAGGAGTGGAGGAGCAGGAGGAATCTGGTAGAGGAGGAGGAGGAGACAGAGGACCCAGACGCACCGTGGCAGTATGCTGTGGAGATGGAGGCAGGGAGTCCCTCGCATTCCTTGGAACAAATGGCCATAGCATGCTCGGTTGCTTGCATAGCAGACAGCCGAATATTAACACATCAGACAGAGGGATGACTTTTGGCTGTCCACCTTTGTTGGACCTCGCTACCGTTCAAAAATGGTGGCCTTTTTCACACCTGCTGAGAGGGAGGCCAAATAACAGTACTATAAAAAAACCAACTATGTAGTCAGTTGGTCTCTCTGCCTTTCTGCGCCAACGGTCATCTCAGGACACTGTTGGGCCACTGTGCGCTCGCGTTCCGCTGTCATGGCTAGCAGGGGAGGGGTGGGGTGGGTAGGAGCAGTGGCAGCTCCACCAGCAGCGGCTGCCTCAGTCTGCAGTCGATGATGAGTAGCTTTCTTCACAGCGCAGTGAGGAAACTACTAACCAGCCGCAGCAGCGAGCAGCATCAGGTGGACTGGGAGCAGGAACCTCAACAACAGGCTTGGGCCTACTTGGACAGCACCCTGCCAACCGAGGTAGACAATCCCCTGACTATGGGCAACGAAACTTGACCTTTGGCCCCAACTAGGCTGAATTTGCCCTTGTAAAAGGCTGTCATGCCCGGCCTGTAGCGTGGCATCGGAGCGCGTGTTTAGTGCGGCAGGAGGTATTGTAACTCACGCGGAGGACACGACTGTCCACCCAAAGTGTGGAGAGAACTCACCGTTGTGTGAAAATGAATCAGGCGTGGATTAGTCTGGATTTCAAAAACTCCAGTTCCTGACACAACTGACTAAATCCGCCATGAAATCAATGCCCCAAACATGTTATTAGGGGACAAATGGAAATAAGACCTCACCTGATCCGTACTTTTGTAATATATATTTTATTGAGAGGCTGCTGGTCGGCCGACTCATGTTTTGCACATTTTTAATGATTATACTCTGCAGGTCGGGCCCTCATGAATTGGGGTTTTTAAATTATTTATACTTCGCTGGACGACCGTCACATGATTGAACCTTTTTAATGACTTTTACTCTGTGGTCGGGCCCCTCTTGAATTGGTGTTTTTAAATTATTTATACGTCGCTGGACGACTGTCAAATGAATTTAATACTTTTTAATTATTTTATAGTCGACCAGTTCCAGGACCGATGGAATAGCAAATTTTTTTAAATATTTATTTGACACGGTGTTGTCCATCTCATCAATGAGGTGGGGACTGTTTATTTATTGGGCCATGGTTTGGCCCCTCCTGTTTCTTACATTGTTAACTTGTGTGTATCGGTCACGGTTTGGCCACATGTTTGGTTCGTCTTGTTATAAGATTTTCTGTAATGTACACAGTTACGCTTGACTTGTCGACTTTCCACAATCTACTAAGGTTATAGCATCGCATCAAAGTTTTTTTTTTTTTTTTTTGGTCTAAAACCATTTCTTATAATGTCAATTTGTAGGATACGCGCTGTAAGGCGACCTACTTTTTTGTGCACTGTGTAGACATCTATTTATAGGCCGATGTTTGGCAGAGAAAAGATATATTTAAGTAATAACCTAGCCGTTCCAAGTCTGCTCACTGAACACCTTGGGAATTGCTTTGTATATCTGTCGCCTTAGGGGCCGCTGTCTGGCGACATAATTTTTTGTCACTGTGTAGACATCTATTTATAGGCCGATGTTAGGCCACAAAAATATATTTAGTAATAACCTAGCCGTTCAGGCCGCTCCCTGAACACCTCGGGAATTGCTTTGTATATCTGTCGCCTTAGAGGCCGCTGTCTGAACAGCTCATGAATTGCTTTCTATTTGTGTCGCCTTTGAGGCCGCTGGCTGGACAGCTGATGAATTGATTTGTATATATGTACTTATTGTCCGCTGTCCGGACAGCTCATGAATTACTTTTTGTATATAGCCTTCCAAACCACTCTCTCAGAATAAGTCATGATATTCATGCTGTGTATAGCCTTATAGGCCAATGGTCAATCAAGTCATGATTGTTATAGTGTGTATAGCCTTATAGGCCGCTGTCTTTACAAACTTTATAATTCCATGCAGTATATAGCCCTATCGGCCACACTTTCTGGGCATCCAGTTGCTGTAGCCCCCATCACCACACTGTGCCACGGGCCCTGTACCGCCTTTTCATACTGCTGCCAGATCCATCCTCTGCCATGTGCGTCTTTGTCATCTGCTCACGCTGCTGGGTTCCAGTTTTAAACCTAGGCTGTGTATGGCTTCCGAATACTGCTGCCTCCACCGCCACCCTGCGCCATGTGCCTCTGTCGTCTGCTCACGCTGCTGACGGCTTCCTTCCGCTTTTTAAACTAGTCCTGTGTATGTCTTCCGAATACTGCTGCCTCCACCGCCACCCTGCGCCATGTGCCACTTTCGGGTCTCCTCACACTGCTGCCAGGTCCATACTGATTCATGGCCCCCTGTACCGGCTCCTCATGAACGTGGTTCAGCGGGTTTGCATCACTTAACGGCAAATCGTTGACAAATGCTGGGACGTTCAGTGTTGTGCGCATTAAGCCAGACACCAAAGGGCAGCACAGACCTGTTATTACTCGCTCAAGCATGGCTGAACAAAACCAGTCTCTACCACAAATTGGACCCAGACCTGCCCAGGGTCTCGTAACTAGATTGCACGGAGGAGTAGAGTCCGTTATCGGAATTAAATAGACAAAACGCCACACCAAAAAGAGTGGGCCATTTCCAACACTTATTCCAGAAAGAGGAAACAACCCGTTTCATATACGGCCCGTAGACGTTTCACGTCTGCCACATTCAGTCGATTTAAGACGCAAGCTCCACTTCCTGTGGTCTCTGACCGTCGATATACCTTTAAGTGTCAGCTTTGAAGCTATATTCCCTCCGGAGCACTGACACTGGTGCCCTTCCGTCAACATGCCTTTAAGTTTCAGTTTTCAACCATATTCCCCACAGAAGCCAAACTCTTGGGTATCCCAGAAGCTGCTCAGCGGGTCAGGGCAATAAAGCTCCCGGTTCGCAGGTTGTTCCGTCTTATGGATGGAAGTACGACGGTATATGATCTTCTTCGCACCCACGGCATTACCTCATAAAATTTCTGCATTGCATCTGCAATCACAACGCTGACTTCCCGGATCGCCACTCAGCCATTGGACTCTTGATAGTCGTCTCCCCACACTGCTGCTGGGGGGACTTTTTAACCTAGGCCTGTGTATGGCCTTCAATTGAAGCTGCTTCCGCTCCGCCACTCTGCCATTGGACTCTTGATAGTCGTCTCCCCACGCTGCTGCTGGGGGGACTTTTTAGCATAGGCCTCTGTATGGCCTTTAATTGAAGCTGCTTACGCTCCCGCCACTCTGCCATGGGCATCTTGGGTATCCCAGAAGCTGCTCAGCGGGTCAGGGCAATAAAGCTCCCGGTTCGCAGGTTGTTCTGTCTTATGGATGGAAGTACGACGGTATATGATCTTCTTCGCACCCACGGCATCACCTCATAGAATCTCTGCATTGCATCTGCAATCACAACGCTGACTTCCCGGATCGCCACTCAGCCATTGGACTCTTGATAGTCGTCTCCCCACACTGCTGCTGGGGGGACTTTTTAACCTAGGCCTGTGTATGGCCTTCAATTGAAGCTGCTTCCGCTCCGCCACTCTGCCATTGGACTCTTGATAGTCGTCTCCCCACGCTGCTGCTGGGGGGACTTTTTAACCTAAGCCTGTGTATGGCCTTCAATTGAAGCTGCTTCTGCTCCGCCACTCTGCCATTGGACTCTTGATAGTCGTCTCCCCACACTGCTGCTGGGGGGACTTTTTAACATAGGCCTCTGTATGGCCTTCAATTTAAGCTGCTTACGCTTTGCCACTCTGCCATGGGCCCCTGTACCGCCTCCTCTTGCTGCTGCCAGGTCCAGAGTGTGTCATGGGTCCCTGTACGGCCTCCCATTGCTGCTGACTTCATCGCCAGACTCTGCCATGTGCCACTTTCAGGTCTCCTTACACTGTTGGTGGGTTCCATTTTGTGATAGGGTGCTGTATGGCCTTCCATTGCTGCTGCCTCCACCGCCACCCTGTGCCATGTGCCTCTGTCGTCTGCTCACGCTGCTGACGGCTTCCGCTTTTTAACCGAGGCCTGTGTTTAGCTTCCGAATACTGCTGCATCCACCGCCACCCTGCGCCATGTGTCTCTGTCGTCTGCTCACGCTGCTGACGGCTTCCGCTTTTTAACCTAGGCCTGTGTATGGCTTCAGAATAATGCTGCCTACACCGCCACCCTGCGCCATGTGCCTCTGTCGTCTGCTCACGCTGCTGCCAGGTCCATACTGATTCATGGCCCCCTGTACCGGCTCCTCATGAACGTGGTTCAGCGGGTTTGCATCACTTAACGGCAAATCGTTGACAAAACGCTGGGACGTTCAGTGTTGTGCGCATTAAGCCAGACACCAAAGGGCAGCACAGACCTGTTATTACTCGCTCAAGCATGGCTGAACAAAACCAGTCTCTACCACAAATTGGACCCAGACCTGCCCAGGGTCTCATAAGTAGATTGCACGGAGGAGTAGAGTTCGTTATTGGAATTAACTGTGAGGGACTTTTAAACCTAGGTCTGTGTATGGCCTTCAATTGAAGCTGCTTCTGCTCCGCCACTCTGCCATTGGACTCTTGATAGTCGTCTCCCCACGCTGCTGCTGGGGGGACTTTTTAACATAGGCCTCTGTATGGCCTTCAATTTTAGCTGCTTACGCTCCGCCACTCTGCCATGGGCCCCTGTACCGCCTCCTCATGCTGCTGCCAGGCCCGTAATCTGCCATGGGCCCCCGTACCGACTCCTCATGCTGCTGCCAGGCCCGTAATCTGTCATGGGCCCCTGTACCGCCTCCTCATGCTCCTGCCAGGTCCAGAGTGTGTCATGGGTCCCTGTACGGCCTCCCATTGCTGCTGTCTCCATCGCCACACTCTGCCATGTGCCACTTTCAGGTCTCCTCACACTGCTGGTGGGTTCCATTTTGTCATAGGGTGCTGTATGGCCTCCCATTGCTGCTGCCTCCACCGCCACACTGTGGCTCCACACTCTGGTTTTGGCCCCGTGACTGCCCAAATGAGTGAAGTGTGCGGTGATTCTAAGATCGACGGCACTCATCTGCATGTCATACTGACTGACAGTATTATTTCTCTTCCCCAGCAGACTCCAAGGGCATTTAAATTAAAGGTACAGTGTTCTGCACTAATATAAAGGCTCTCTGAAGCCTAGAAAAAACACCCTTTTTAATAAGTTAAATTCGCAGCGAATATATTCGGCTCGAAGCGAATTTATTCCGCGAATTCGGCGAATCAGCCGAACCGAATTTTTGAATAATTCGCTCATCTCTAATCACTATCTGTTACTTTTATCAATAAATGTCATTTAGGTAATGCACTAGACCGGTGCACCCTCTGTTTGTTTTCTTTGCATCTAGTGTTCTGGACTTCCCCAGTCCTTTGAGGGCAGCAAGGCATGCAACATCCAGGATCTTCCACACAGATCTATAGCTACATCGAGTTCACCCCCAAGCGCAGGAGTATTTATGTTTAGTATTATTCTAGCACAACATAGTAAAAAACATGGAAATATTTCCCATTCAGAAATCTGATCTTGTAAATATCCTGTGCAGTATCATCTTTTTGGGGACCCTGTCACAGTAAAAATATGGGAGCAGCCACTACCAACATGGTTTCAGAGATACAAGCTCCATAGCTTTTACTTGATCCTGGCTTCACTACTAAGTTGGTTAATTAGTCACTGACCTACAAAGATATTCAAGTCAAAACTTCCACTTCATTAACTTCACGTTTGTGTCATTGAAGTGACTGTCCTGTCCACATTATACAGAGAAACTACAGTATACAGTTCCAAATATTATATGTATTAGTACACTACAGCCAGAGCGTCTTCATGATGCCCTAATCTTGTTCTTGATTTGTAAGGCAACACGCATCTCTTTCACTTTCTGCCCAACCACCATTCATTGAATGTGGGGGGATGGGGGGGCAATGATTGTTCCTGCACAGGTTTCCTTTTTGCTGGTGATGTTTGCTTTTAGCCATAGTGATAAAAAAAAATGTCAGATGCAACACCAACCTGACAATGTTTTCAGGGCCGCATCTGACAAGAATTCAACAAACCAAATGACAATCACAATATTACAAACAGGCAAAGTTGGATACAAAAAGAAATAGGAGTTATGAATTATTTTCCATTTTGTAGTAACATCTTGTTCTACAAATGATGACATTTAGAAAATGTTATGTATATAAATTACCAATTGCAACACAGGTCAATTACAACTCAAGGCATGATATTAGGAAAGCACTGTTATACCAGAATCCTATAGGTTGTGTAAGTTATAATGATTCTGTTAAAGAAATATATTGAACAGTTACCGAATGTCCTGAAAAATATATGTTTTGAGCAGCCTCTCATCTTTCCTTACTGCCTGCCAGTAATATTATTTGGGGCACAGGGATCTCTTTTATTTTTTTAATCATAAAACAATATATTTTTCCTATAGTACTCCAGATGACAACAGGCCTTTATCTTGTCAAATTGTCTTAACCACTTCACATAAACAAATTTACGTACATTTATGCATGGGGTACATGACACAATACAGACTGTAATATTGTACAAATATATTCACAGACATTTGTCACATTTGGGATAAGCCTTGAGCAGAGAAACAAGGAATGAGAGCAATTGGTGTTGAACCATGGGCACTTTGCACATATGCAGCACAATGCACTGAATGTGTAGGACTGAATGACAGCCACTGCTGGCCTATTTCATTGTGGATGGCAGTATGAAGCCTGATTAATGTCCATGGCAAAACCGGTACGATAACTGCACTAAGCAATGCATAAGGGAAATCTTTAACTATGCTCAGTGTATGTAGCACATAGCCTGTACATATCAACTGTCAAAAAAATATTCTTTCTATATTTCCCGCACTGCTCTGTTCTGAGCAGTCTCTTGTTCCTGAGATGTCTTCTCGCTTGTCTGTCTCCCTTTCAGCACTATTCTGCATGGAAAGCTGTCTCCTCCAGCTATTATTGGGTGTTTCCATGGACACCGCTATGGAGGGGTGGGAGCGAGCTGCATCTTTTTTCAGGCCAGAAACAGGAGCTGACAGATGCAACAGTTGTAGAGAGGAGTAAGTGTGAGCTCTGCAGACCATATGACGTTTCTGACAGGCATGTGGCAGTAACATATGATTCGTAACCAAAGAACTGATATACATATTTGAGTTATTTTTAGGTCTTATTAAAATATCAGAAAATTAATAGTGATGGGATCACTGTAGATGAATGCAAAATTGCTGTTAACACTCTGTTGCCTTTTAAAAATTATGATTGCGTTGTGAGCTTGAAGGCTTATTCATCTCTGAGTTTTGCAATGCATTCAAATTTAATGTTCATTTAACTAACATTTTTTTATGATTTTATGCTCATTTTGGTGCTTCTGAAGTGCAGTCTAACTGCTCAAAATGATTGCATGCATTGGAGGTATTATGCCTAGAAAATCAATGTTGTTTGAGTGATGTCCAATAAAATACATGTATAACATGCTATGTGTGCATTTTACATGCATTGCCATTTAACAATATGTAACCAGCACTTCAGTTGATACATCTGGAGTTTTTAATCTGTGTTCGGCACCTAAGCAAATCACTTTAGTATAAAATTCTTATAATTAATTATGGGTAGATTAGGGAAAGGTGCCAAGTTTTTACTGTTTTCTGTGACTCCCTTGGTAAGATTAGGGTTCATGCACACGGCCACCTGGGGCAGTAGAACATAAAGTTCGGGTGTATTTCCCTTCCCTGGAGTTACAAGGTGGCTACATGCAGGTATACCCCAGCAAAAACCCATGCAAGTTTAAGGATGTAAACCCCTGTATGCTCTTCTCCATTCCAACAAGAATTAAAAAAAATGTTTAGGCTGGAGTTGGGCTTTAACCATTTGCCCCCCAGAGGATTTACCCCCATTCCTGACCAGGCCATTTTTTGCAATACGGCACTGCGTTTCTTTAACTGACAGTTGTGTGGTCATGCAACGCTTCTCCCAAATGAAATTTATGTCCTTCTTCCCACAAATAGAGCTTTCTTTCGGTGGTATTTTTGACTTTTTGCTATAAAACTTATCCAGTAAAAAAGATTTTAAAAATCAACTTTCGTCATAAATTTAGGACAAAATGTATTCTGATACATGTCTTTGCTAAAAAAAAAAATCACAAAACATGTAAATTAATTGGTTTATGTGAAAGTTATAGTGTCTACAAATGGTGGAATATATACTTGAATTTTTATTTTTTTTAATACTAGGAATGGCGGCGATCAGTGACTTATAGCAGGACTGTGGCGGGCATTCTGACACTGGGGGGGGGGACTGACTAACTGCCACTGACATCCCAATGACACTAATACAGTAATCAGTGCTAATAAAAAGCACTGACGCTGTACTAATGGAAGGGATTAACATCTGGGGCGATCAAAGGGTTAACTGTGTGCTGTTTTACTATGTGTGCTGTGTGTGTTTTACTATGTAAACATGCTATGCAGAGCAATACAAAGCAGCATGTTGGTGCTGACAGGGGTTTACACACAGACCTCTCCCCTGTTACTGTTCCTTTGTGATCGCTGGGTGCCGGAAGGGAATCTCCAGACCCAGTGATCGACAGCAGGTCAGTGATGGTGCAGATAGGGCGGCGTGTGCGCCCCCTACCTTGAATGCGAAATCACATACTGTATATATATATACGTGATTTTGCGCTGCCCTGTAGCAGTAGTTCTGCTGTAGGGCGGCGGGGAACCGGTTAAAGTACAATGCCCCTTTCAGTCCCAGTAATTAATAAAACATAAAAATGGTATCCCTGTGTTTGCACTGCCCTGCCTGCCCAGAGCAAGCTTAGTGTTTACTAGCTCACTGGTCCCTCCTTCCAATAACAGGAAAATTGGAAAGGCAGACAAGATCTACCCAATAGAGGATATGGCAGTCTGTCCAGTTCAGGGGCGGACTGACCATTTGGAAACTCGGGCAATGCCCGAGGACCCAGGGTCAGTAGGGGGCCCCATGAGATGCCCCTGATACCTTTTTCATAGGCTTTTTTGAGTTTGGGCAAGGACACAGGGGCCCCATGATCCCCTATTGCCCGGGGGCCCCATGAGTTGTCAGCCCGCCCCTGGTCCAGTTCCATCTAGGCGGATATGATTCAAGTGAAGTCAGGTGTAAATGGACAGTGGAGTCAGTTTACTGCTGGACACCCATAGAGCAGAGCGGGCTCTGACCATATGCACTTTGCATAAACTGAGCAGACACGGACCTGTCATCCACCCACTCTACTCTGTTCAGCAGAGGATCAGAAGACAGATCCCCAGCTGATCAAAACTGAGTGCGCCACATGTGAAAGGGGTCTTCTTTTCTGTGACCAGACTTCATCCTTAGTTCAGCCTACATACTGAATTCTATTGGGAGAAGCAAGTACCTAACCAGTAAACAAGAATCCTGGCAGGGAGAGCAGTGCTAAGTTTTCTGCTGTAAGGGGCTATATGTTCCTGCTGCAGTGAACTGGGAAATAGTAATTATTTTTTAGCAAAAAGTTGTCTATTGCCTATTCTTTTGTAGATTGTTTGGATGTGCTAAAAGTGCTTAAAGTGGAACTAAACCGCTTCTGAATTAGATCCCCCACCCTTCTTCCCGCTGACTTTAAAAAAAATGCCTGCACGTGCGCCAATGTGCTACTGGTCTCTTCCAGGCATTTGGGAGCTGGAAAAGACTGGTAGTGTATCTGTGCACACTAATTAGTCATAAATATTTCACACTAATTACACTTTCATTTGTCTACCTGCATGCAATTGTGTTTAAAGCAGAACTAAACTCCAACAAACAACAATTTTTTGTTCTGCCCCTCCCCCCTCCCCTACAAATGCTAATTAAATGATTTCTAATTTTTAATTATGGGCTGCTTTTTATGCTGAAAAACAGCACTTCTGATTTCCGGCCTAGACTGTGCCCTGCTTCCTCCTGGGATTGCCACATCACAGCTATCCCAGGAAGTAGTGGGTTACTAAGCCGCAAGTGTGCAGCACATGCTCAGTAGATTTCTGTGCATGCGCACAAATGCCACTGGAGGCTATATTGGCCACCCTCCAGAAGCAGGTGACATTCGAATGTATATGTGCAGTGTGAGAGATATTTGCTGCCTCTGACTGCTAATCTTTTGGGATCTGGAAAAAGATTTGGTGATGTGATTCGGTGGGAAATCTGTACGCTAGGGCCTGTACTGCATGAATTTCCCTGCTTATGCTTCATCCATTCTGTGAATGTGTGCTTTCTACTTCCCCCATGATTCTTCTTGATCACTGTCGCCTCACAACTTATCGGATAACCAGACATCTGGGGGAAGTGGGGGATCTGACATGAACAGGTCATCTCCCCACAGAAACACGGGGTTTTATTTACTAAAACTGCAGAGTGAAAAATCTGGTGTAGCTTTACATGGTAGCCAATCAGCTTCTACCTTCAGCTTGCTCAATTAAGCTTGGATAGTAAAACCTGGAAGCTGATTGGTTTTTTATGCACAGCTGCACCAGATTTTGCATTCTCCAGTTTTAGTAATTTAACCCCACAGTGTGGAACAAAGCATGTTGAGTCAGTAATGAACAAAGGTCCTTTGTAAAGGGTAGAAATGTGAGAGCTGCCATTGCCGATTTTTTTTCAACTCCTTCCCG